TTTCAAGTTGCTTGTTTTATGTGGGGATAAAAATAACTGCTATTTTACTAGTGAATTTATGAATAAATTTTGTATTTAAAACAAATGCCTTGTATTTGCTTATATGACAAAAGGTGCCCATGATACAGGATAAGAGCACAATAAAATWCATTACCTAGCTGCCAGAGAGCCCTGATTATGCTTACAGCTTGTCAGAGGGACCTAGCAACTGCAGAAGGAAAAATCATCTCTGATTCCTCTTAACAAACTCTTAAGAGCAGCTGTTTCTGTCACAGCTTGCTCAAGACTGTGGGAACTGAAAAAGGGATCCTGCACCCTGTTTCTCACATGTGGTCCTCATAATTACACATAACACAACAAATACCAGGAAAAGGACAGGCTTGGACTCATCCTTCTTCTGTTACACGTATCCTTCCTCTCATAAAATCACCGAGGCAAATTTTTTGGCTGACTGTTTTTGTTAGAGACCAGTGAGACAGAAAAGCTGTCACACTTTCCAGATGCTCACATACTCTAAGACTRCAAGTCAAGCATTATGGCTGAACTTGCAATGCCATGATGGTAGCAAAGGCCAGGGAACTGACAATTCTATCAATTTTGTCTTTCAAAGAATTTAATCTTTTATGTGTAGAACATACAAACCTTCAGTTACTGTAAATAGAAAGAAAAGAAAAAAATAAAACGGATGGACAAGCTGGAGAGGAAGAAAAATGCTTTGAAGACAGATTTTGGATAAGAAATGTAGTGAAGTACCCAGAAAGAGAAAAAAAAAAGAGTCCCTGAAAGAGACAGAAGGTACAAATATTTTTGAAAGTGACTGAGAAGCAGCCCACCATCAAGAACAATGAAAGTCAGAAGAACACAGCACATTGTTTCCAGAACAGCTGAAGTAAGGATCTACTTGAGTGACCTCACTATGGTCTTACTTCCTGRCATTACCATACCCATCCCTCAAAATCTCTTGCTTCTTTACTCCAGAGTCCCAGATGCTGAAGGCATCAGGCACTGCAGAAGTGTCAGCGCAAGGATCAATCACAGCAGATGAGGCTGATTAACCAGGAGATATCCCACAGCAAAATGCCTGWCCAGTGCATGCCCACCCTACTTTTTCCCCCTGTGGAAATCTAATTTTTCCACTACCTGATATTAAAGCAAGACCAAACAAGTGGGAAATGGCTGGGACTAACAGCCATTCTGGTAGTTCTGAGTCATACAGAGAGCAAACATTGCAGGAGCACCATTTAAGTTTGCTCTTGGAGTGGTKTGCTACTGGAAATGAGTTCAGAAAGCTTCCACATAATTTATGAACAATCAGGAGGCCCTAAACCTCTCTTCCTTTCTCCCAATTCCATGAGAGTCCTGCAGTGGCCCTTATTTAGCTCCAGCTCTCTGCAGATGTTGCGAGGTCATAATGGATCCAAAATGTGAAACTGAAGATAAGAGCAACTTCAACCTGCAGCATGCAATAAACTATTTGATACACAAAAATTACTGAGATAGGGAGAAGATTGAAGTTCTAGTATTTTGACATAATCTGATTTTCAACTGGTCTTTTCACCTAGTGAACTATCTGATTGTGAACCTGCATGGGCAACGAGCTCAAAAATATCAACAATCTTAAAGCAGCAAAATGTTTTAAACAGCTTGCTTTTGATCATACTTACAGCATGAAATTATCTTTGCCAAGAGTAGCAGCTGGAAATTTTACATTCAAAGAACTTTTTTTTTTGGGCTGAAGGATATGAACCGGTCCAAGTAAATCTTCAGAACAGAACAGAACAGATTCTTCCAGTGCATTGACAAAAAACTTCCTGACACTGGTGACTGACAGACAATCTTGGCAACTCAACACTGGAAGAATTGTGTAGGCATGTGAATGTTTTTGCTGCAGTGATCATGAAACGGTGAATTCAGAAATTTGAGAGGAGGGAAAACAGCAAAAAGTAGAACCAAAGTTTGCAGAGCAGACTTTAACACCTTTAGAGTTGCTTGGAACAGTCCCATGGGTTTTGGCCCTGGAGAAAAGATGAGTCCAGGACAGCYGCTTGATTTTCAAGGATAACCTCCCTTAAGCTCAGGAACGGTTCAACTTGACATGCAGAAATCAAACAAAGGCACCTAAAGGCCTGCATGGAAGGTCAGAAAGCCCCTGAATAAACTTAGATATAAACAGGAAATGTATGGTAAGTGGAAGCAGGACAGCGGAGCTAGGAGTAATAGAGAGCACTGTCCAATCATGCAGGGATGAGACGAGGAAAGCCAAAGCCCACCTGGAGTTSAATGAGGTGATGTTGTGGTTTAAGACCAGATGGAAATGAACCTTCAAGCAGCCACTTCCTTTCCTCTCACCCCCTCCACTGAGAAAGGGACAGAAAGGCAGAAATTATCAGTTGAGACAACAATTTACTGGAAAAATAGTAATGAGATAAGGAAAACAAACAGAAACATAAACAATACTAATAATAACGTGTAAGAGTGTGATTACATGCAAAACATGCTTATGAAAATCTAACTGTTCTGTTGTCACCATGGCCAGTGACATGCATTTTCCTGAGAGAAAGGAGGAAAAATGGCAGATGTTACTGCAATCCTAATGGCCATGTAGCTTTTCCTGAAAAAAGGGGAAAAGGGCAGGCATTACCACAGCCAATGCAGGATGTTTTTCGCCTGAGCCTGAGACTGTGGAAGACAGTGACGGACAAACCCCCCCAAACCAGAGAGTCTGCACTGCTCTGCCCAGACCACACCGACTGCACCAGTCTGTTCARGGCTTTGCTTCTCCCAGGTGAAGACAGCACAAAAATGGCTGTGCTTCCACTGTGCCTTTTCTTCAACCCAAAGCTATGACATGAKTGTACAGAATAAACTCCCTGGACACATCCACATGGCTCCAGCCTCTGTGCMCTTCCCATGCCCCTATCCCAGCAAAGGCAAAAGTAACTCTGTCCTGACCAAAACTAGGACAGCTGAGGAATGTGAAAAGTAATGGAAGAAGCTTCTACGYCTACATATGTGGAAGAAAAACATAGAAGAGGCTGAGGAGCTCAATGCCTTCTTTACCTCCATCTTTACTGGCAAAAGCAGCCTTCAGGAATCACAGGTCTTGGAGAGTAGAGGAAAAATCTGGAGTAAGGGTGCATTGCCTTGGATCGAGCAAGAAAAGGTCAGGGAGCATTTGAAAAAACTGTTCATACACAAATCCATGGGATGACTTAGGATGGCATGCACAGAGCTGAAGAAGCTGTCACGCCATCGCAAGCTACCTCTATTACCTTTGAAAGACTGTGTGTGACTGGGAGGCGCTCSTGAGGTAAGGGAGCAAACATCACCCCAGTCTTTAAGAGGAGAATCTGGGGAGTTACACRCTGGTCAGTCTCACCAAACTAAGGACAAGAAGATGATTAGATCAGGCAAAAGGCATTATGAAAGGCAAATAATGCTTAACCAACCTGATGACCTTCTACAATGAGATGAAAGTTTAGGTGGATGATGGGAGAGCAGTGGAATGTTGTTTGCCTCACCTTCAGTAAGCTTTTTGACACCATCACCAAAAACATTTCCACACACTGATAAACCACGACTTAGATACGTGGACAGTGAGGTGGATTCAAAAAGCAGGTAAGCAGCAGCTGCTGTGATCACTGCTGCAAAGGCCATGGGAAGCCAGTCCCCTGCAGTGTCACCCGAGGGTCAATAGGGGAGCCAATACTGGCATCACTGGATCATGGCGCACAGCACATCTATGGCAATTTTGCAGATGATACGACACTGGAATGAGCAGCTGGCACTCTAAGCTGCCATTCAGAGGAACCTAGAAMGGCTGGTCAAATAGGCTCACAGGAACCTCATGAAGCTTAACAAAGGGAATTTCTGCCCTTGTGGAGGAAAAAACCCAGGCAGCAATACATGCTGGAGGCAGTGGGCTGGAAAAGGAGCTCCAAGAGAAGGATCCAGGGGTCAGACATGGAACAGAAAGTTGTCACCATGAACTCACSTGCACAGCAAAGACCGCAAATGACATCCTGGGTTGCACCAGGAAAAACAGCAGGTGGAGGAAAGTGATCCTTCACCTCTGCTCAGTACTGGTAAGATACATCCAAGCACAAAACAGACATGGACATTCCAAAGTACCTCCTGCAAAGGGCCACAAAGACAAAGGGACTGGAACATTTGTGATGCAGTAAGAGCCTGAACAAAGTTGTGAGTGTTTAGTTTGGAGAAGGCTCATAAAGGATCTTACTGATTTCTAGAAATACTTGATGGGAAAGAAAAAGTGTATGGAACTAGGCTCTTCTCAGTAACAGAACAAAAAGCAACAGGCACACACTGAATCACATAAAAGTCCATCTGAACACTGAAGAAGTTTTTGGTGTTGGGTTTTTTGGTTTGTTTTTTTTTCTCACTATGAGAGCATGACTTCAATTGTTTGCCCAAAGATGTTGTGGAATCTTAGCTCTTGGAGATAATGAAAACAAGCAGATGAATTAGATAGCCCCTTCTAACCTTGCAAATGCTGTGATCCTGTGGTTTCGGTGAATAGTACAATGCCTTCCAAATTGTCTCTGAACACAGAGAAAATCTGAAGTTTTGGGAAACTGTCCAAGTAAATGTTAGTGCAATCACAGCAGAATAATACAGGGATCTTGCAACTTCCAGACCTGAGGAAACTGCCAATTCAATAATAGTACAAAAGCATATGGGTCTCAGTCACAGTGCCTAGATACTGTGATAATATGAATAATACTAATTTTCCCTCTGCTAAAAGTATTGTCGGGTTTTAGGAGCCTTGCATCTTTTTGTAAATTCACACACCCTGCTTTTTTTTTTCCATGCATTCATCTCTCATGTTAATAATTAAAAGACCTCAGGAAACACAGCACGCTTTATGAGACTGTGGCTGCCATCCGCTCCCACAYGCATCAGATATAGAGATATACAGTGTACTTGAGCCTTAAAAAATTTTATTGTCTTGCAGAGAAAAGCAATTAAATGGTAGAAAAGTTACACTATATCACCAATCACCATAGAAAAAGGGATGGTGGTTGGATTTGGGGGTAGGCTACTTCTGCAAGTCTGCTGTTTGACAGCTATTCAAAACCACACACAAACAGCTCTTTTCTCCATGTCAGTACATAGACACAACTAACATTTCTAAAGCCCAGGACAAAGTCAATATAGAGATTTTAAAATATGCCCTTTGTTTATGATGACTGCCTTCATGAAAGCAGACTGCCATCTGCTGCAGCTCCAGTGACAGCTTTCTGATAAAGGCACAAGTATGGTTCTTCACAGTGCTCATCTGCTCTTCATGAGTCTTCCCACCRCATCCTGAAAGACACCTGCCTTCAGTACCTCTTACTTTTCAAACTGCATTTGAAACTGCGTCTGCATTCTCTCAATTCCAGAAAATCTTAGCAAATGGGATACTCAGTAGTATGAACAGGTAGTTCACTATGTGATCAAAAATTGTATCATTGTCAGAGAATGTGTAAGATTTTTGAAATTTTAGTGAACRAACTTTCAGTATGTTCTTTCACACAACTCAGTAATTTGACTTGTCATAATCCAGTGTGTGTCCATCCTTGACCATGGATGATCTACTAGCAAGGAGCTTATTATTGTGCACCTAGAGAAGTTCAATCTATAATAAATATGAAATATTAGATAAACAAGTTTTCTTGTTTTCTTGTGAACAAGAAAGCCCTTAAATTCAAAAGCAGATGATCAAACTGTGTGAGAATATCACGGTCATATAAAAGAAAAATCTTCATAAAAAGAACCAAAGTCTTAAAATGTCTTTTGGGTTATCAGAATACATTCACACCTCATTTGTTTATAGAGTCAATTAAGTAATAATATAATTGTAATAAGCACAATTTTATTAGGATGCTTGAAGGTGCATGGTGTCTTGTCCAAAATTATTAAGACAGATACACAGCATTACTCTTTATTGTGAATGAAGTGCCATAGCCATTTTTTGACTTAAGTGTTGAAAGAAATCAAAACAATTTCCTTTGCTGCTATATTATATAAATTGCACTAAAATCTGACAATCACAATGAATTGAAATACACTGCAAAGAGGCAAGCTGCATAAAGCCACCTTGACGAATGATACAAGTGACCACACTATTTCCAAGGAAGCAAAGCTTTCAAGCAAATCACATGCATAAAGTGTGTTCTTTTTCAGAGTACAGTATTGTAGTTAGAACTGCAGTATCATTTCACAGGCAAAAAAATGCTGATGTCCATATCCCCAACACCCTTCTCAGATCTATGCCGGGATGTTTCTTGCACTCCCCAAATTTTAACTGTGTGATCCACTGTTACCAAGAATCTAAYAGAAACTGTGTCCAGAGGGTGAACCAGACTAGTGTTTCTATTTAATTGATTAGTGTTTGTTTAATTCGCTCTCACTTACTTCACTTTGTGCTAAGTGGASCATGAGTATTCCAAAGACTTCAAAAAACTTCTGTAATTCCTTCTTAAAGAAGTGCTGAACTTGCAGAGGTTACCTTTCTAACACAGTAAGCACCAGTATCATCTCCTGACATGAGGAATATTAAAAAAGACAGTCAGATTCCATACCCGACATATTGCTGGAAGGACAAAATCAGCTCTAGAACACAAACGCCTCCTTTTGGAGGAAAACAACCAAAGAATCAAAAAAATATGAAAAATCTAAAGGCACAAATCACATTTATATATTTTAAAAGCAAGGGTAAAAATGTATGGAATAACCCCTTCATTGGGAGCAAGTGTGTATACAACACTGCTGTCAGCGTGCATCTGTGAGCAAAGGAGAGGCCGGAGAGGAGGCATGGTGCCAGGGGAGGAAAACAGCCCATGCAGTGCTTAGTGCACAGCCTTATGACTCAGACACGCTCTGTACGCCTCTTCAGAAACCTACCAGAAGGTGACAAAAATCCCAAACTATACTCACCAAATGTCCTCGCTTTGCAATTCYTCCCCTTCTCTCCCTAACTGAAATTTCTCCAATCAGCATTCAAAACCAAGCAGTTGTCGTTTTCTGGTACATTACGAACAACATTGGAACATTAAGGCTTCTTTCTTTGGTTGTACTGTTATCAGAAATTATGATATTGTAGGTAAAACAAAGAAGTCAATACACTACTGCATTTGGAGATCAATGCAAATGATTATGCTCAATGTTATATTGAATTTTTCTTCCCACCCTACCTCTCTCCCCAAGAAAACTTTTAAAATCATACAAGGCACAAATGGCTAACAAGTCTTAACAAGGTTCTGTCTCTTCCTTGCTGTTCCTCTTTTGGCCCTGGTTTAACAATGTTCCGTGGCTTCAGGTGATGACAGTGGGTCCCTTCCGTCCTGTCCTCTCATGAATCTGAGATATTTTCAGTGCAATTGCTATCAGAGGACTCAGCACAGCCTAAAGATGAAGAAATACATTGCATTACATAAAGAAGAAATATCAAAAGAAATCTTACACTTATAAATCCTTCTTTTAACTGTACAATTATACAATAGCAGTAAATAATAACATCAAAAACTGACACATCTATAAGTCTATTATTTTACACTTGAACTATCATGCTTAGTATATGTTTTGYGAAGTACTACATCGAGTATACCTAAGCAAAGCAGAAAAGGGAAATCAGTAAGTCAAGTACTGTACTGCTTATATTTCTGTGTAACAGGAATTGTGGATGTCTTTGAAATCTGCTGTATAAAACAACTTAGAAATCACAAAAGCAGAATTGTTTCTATTCTGATGAGTGGAAGCCACATATGTGACATTTTCTTCCTAAATACACTTAATATATGAAGCTTAGGGTCAGAAGGTACTGTAGCAACTACCTTAACAGAACTCACAGAAATGTGTTCTGGCTAATACAACATTAAAATGTATTAATAGGATCAATTCCAACAGAACAGCATGAACTTGCAAGTTTCAGACTACATTGTTAAATAGCCATTTACCTGCCCGGGTGGGTGAGTACAGCTAACAACTATGATAGTACCACATGAAAATCAAGTAAAACACAAATTTTAAAATGGCAGTTGCATCTTCTTTYGTTAAATGACACACAAAAATAAAATGGCAGAGCTGAGTTTTGTGTGAAAATTTTCTTTGCAGAGAATCACATATTTGGTTAGCAAATGAATTCTTTGACCCTTGGAGATTTCCCCTGGCTGCTCTTTTCAGATAAACTACTTACAGCTTCACACAGATTAGATTTGAAAATCAAATGAAAYAAAACAGTAATTCCAGAAAGCTGAAAACAGATACCTCTTTTTATAAGCCTAATATAATCAATATTTTGAATCTATTTCAGCCACCTAACAGGATGAGGTGTTTGCTTTATTTATGCAAACAGTCAGACAGTTAAATCAAACGAGTGAAGAGAGTAACTATGGAAGCCAAGTCATGGAATAACACCATGAATGCCATTGGTGTCAAGTGAGTTTATGATTAAGCTCAGTTATGCACAAGTGKGAGCACTCTGACATGTTATTGTTAAAAAAGCTCCATATTTGTAGATATCTATCTACTGAATAATCACTGAAGCAGAACACAAGTCTATTAAAGTCAAACACACTTAGAGAAGATTAATATGCAGAGCACAAATTCGCATCGATGAGCAAATGCCGCAAAAGTAAATATTAAAATGGGCCAATTTATAAAGYCAGGATGAGACAAAAACGTTTGAAGGTCTCCAGCACTTTTCTAATAAACCTCTTCCTTATTTAATCTAAAAAGGACAGGAAAAATTAAAGAAGCAACTCTACTGACCCGCTTTATTCGACCCTGCTTTTTTAGGCAACAAATGCTTTCTGGAAAAAAAAAAAAACCAAAACCACAAACACCACTTTACACAATGCTGGAACAAAACACAGAATCAAATGAGTTTATGTGACATCCAKTTACATAAACAATTTAGCTTGCCAAATGATTCCAATTACTACTCAGTATTCTGCTTGTAACAATCATGCTTCTCAACAGAAAAAGTCCTTTTTAAATTCTGTCTTTTCACACTTCAGTTTAATTTTTACACTTTCTTCATCTGAAAGATGTAGAAAAGGTGAAAGTGCATTATATTTGGAATGGCAAGAGCAGAACAGAATAACAGGAATCTGGGACTGCCTTTTAAAAATTCCTTCACCTCTGCCATGAGTAGTTTACATTTCAGTTGCAGCAGATAAATCTCAGCCAACAATCATTGTTAATATTCCTCTAGAAAGACGTCTGTATCTCAAATAGATCTTGATTTTTAAGTATTTTTCAATGGTTCTCTCTACTTGAGAAATTGTAAAATTTTACTACTGATGTGTCAACTCTAAATGATAAATGCCATTACTCTGTATGTTAAATAGCACATTTATCTCTTGGCAACTGTTTAGGACATATGGCATGTTACCCTTTAGATATAATTTAAGAACTGAAAATTAACAGAACTGACTTAATCAGAATCTTGCTTAAGTAATCACAGATAGAAGTTATATCTCTAAAAAATAACTGGGAGGAATGATTATGAGGAAATAAATCAAGCAAGCAGACATCTAACATCAGACAAATAAAGATTAAAAGCTTTTTGCTTGGGAATAATCTGTACCAGAGCTGTCAGACATGTATCATTCCTGCTTGGCTCATGTAGCAATTTTTCTCTCTGTGACCTTGCAAGAAAATTCCATGCAACTTCTCTCTTCCTTGCAAGAAAATCGTACAAGGTCTCAGGTAGGATTTGTGCCATGATGCATCTGGTTTATCAAAGAGCTAGGCAGGCTGAAATGCACCTGCTTGCAGGTTCGAAGTTAAGCATGTGCCTGTGCATCCTGCAGAGCTTCTACCATAAGAGCTTAACACACAGATGAGCACAGCCTGCTTTGGCCTTCCATTAAAAAAAAAAAAAAAAAAAACAAACAGAAGTCTTTGGAAAGGTTTGTGCTACAGCCACCTCTCCTAAAAGATCTAAGTAGTGTGGATAACCTGATTCATTGTGACACAAACTAAACTGACTCTTTTAACACCCACAGCACTGCTGGAATTCAGCTGATTACCACGAAGAAGAGCACCTTCGACAGACAAAAAAGGATATTGAACTCTCTATTCTTGTGCATGGTCTGCCTGTTAACTCAAATTATATTTATATAATTATAATAATGATCAAGATTATAATATATAATTATATATAATTAAATTATAATTATAATTTTAAATTATAATAATTTAAATTTTTATTATTTAATAATAAAATTATAATAAAGATCAAGAAGCCAGTTGTTCTGCTTCTAGCAATAGAGGAGGGCAGGCATCAAGGGTGAAATAAACAGAAGGAAAGTGGTGCATGAAGACATCTGCWTTGCAAAAGATTACTTCTTTTCTAGTATATCCAAAGAGTTTTGAGGGAAGATCAGATTTAATAACTAATTTCCTTGATTTGTGGACTATTTGATAATTACTGTCCCATGCTTTACTTYATTTGCACCCCCAGTTGATCTAGAATTTGTTGACTCTACAGTGTGACTTTGGGAAGAATCTGAATCTAAATTACTTGAATAGCACAAACATGTTGAATTATCTAAGAGTGTGTCTCCACACCCCACATGCCCTCTGAGAAAATTCTATGAATTTTAATAGCAAAGGCAAAACTTTTATTATGGTTCAACTCCAGCCAGCAACTTMGTACTATGCAGCTGCTTGCTCACTCCCCTGCCTCTGGTAGGCTGGTAGGGAATTGGAAAAAAGTAAAACCCATGGGCTCAGATAAGCACACATTAATAACTGAAAGAAACTAAAACACAAAGAAAGAAACTAAAACAAAATAATAGAAAAAAAGAGGAAGGATAAAATCCAACCAAACCCCCACAAGTGAAGCATAATACAACAGCACAGCACCCACTGATTGGTATTCAGCCTGACCTGAGCAGCCATCATCCCCTCACAGCAAATTCACCCACTGTTTATACACCAAACATGACATTCTGTGGTATGAAATATCCTTTGGGCAGTTCAGATCATCCATCACAGCTATGGTCCCTCCCAGATTCTTGTGTTCCTCCTCACTGACAGAGCATGGGAGACTGAAAAGTCCTTGACACAGATTAAGCTCTACTTAGCAACAACTAAAACATCAGAGTGTTATCAACATTATTCTCATTCCAAATCCAAAACAGGACTTTACCACCTACTAAGAAGAAAATCCTAATCAGATGAAACCAGAATAACTTTATATGATTTTTATGGACCATACTGTATGTTCTAATAACTAACCAGAGCCATGCTAAAAACCCCATTCCCTCAAAAGTAAACAAAGAGGCAATAATTCTCCAGCAAAATGCACTTGTGCTTAGTGTTGTATCAGCGTCTTGACAGAACCATATCATTTTGTCCCTATTAAATGATACACAACCTAGGACTTCTGGGTGGCTGATTTCAGTTCCCTGCCCTTGGACCATCTCACACTATTGGAGGCCAAAATACGCCCGCAGATCCCCYGGCGCAGGAAAGACACACGAGAYGAGGCAGGCAGGTTCTTCTTTATTAATCTTCGGATTTCAGGCTCTCTTAGATATAGTGATATTCAGCTCTGCTCTCTGTCTCTCTTAGTGATTGCAGCTCCCTCTCTACCTGACRATCCCAGCTCTCTCTTCACCCCGAGCTACTACTGCATGCTTTATATACRCTTTCTTTATCTCCCGGGTTCAGAGAACAAACCAATTACACAGGTCCCAGCTAGATGACACAGCTGGGCACTCTCCAATCTCTATACAGCATGTTTTTGTCTTTAATTGGTAGAATACTTTCATCTATCCAATCCCATTCATCTAGAGTCTGCCTGTTTTGACCATGTCTGAGGCCAGGCTGTTTTCCAGCCCAACCCCCAGACACAGCTCTAAAAATGGCCACGGCCACGGCATCACACCATAAGCACTCACTTAATATAATCACTCATTTATACAATCACACATAACAAATTTTTTTTCATATACCAAACAAAATTCACCTGAAAATCTGGGGTTTTTTTCCTCTAGTGCTCACTGTTCAAAAACCTTTTCAGAAATACAGTGTTTGATGATCAAGACATATTTTTAAAACTTTTTTTTCCTTTGCCTTTGCATGGGCATGCCTTTTCCATTAAAAACACAAAAAAACAACTCCTGCCCAAAATCTTTGCTTGGTTGCTGCATACATAATGATTCTGATGCTAACTAGCATGTTGTTTACTAGTCTTGGGCAAAAGTAATTTTGCAGTGTTTCTGAATCACTGCATCCCATTTGAAGCACAGTCAATACAGATTGCACAGGATTGAGGGAATTGGTTGATGTAGTTGCACAGCCACTCCCCATAATATCTGAAAAGTCACTGCAGTCAGGGCAAGTCCCAGGTGACTGGAAAAAGGGGAAAACATTTTATCCACCTTTAAAAA